ACTACCAATAATTCCACATATATTAACAACTGGAATAAATGGGCAACTCCTCAAAAACTTCAAAAAACTACAACAACAACAACAAAAACCCACTGAAACTCACCTACAATGAAATAGATAACCTGAGTAGTCCTATAACTCCTAAAGAAATGGACTTATAGTTAAAAGGGGAAAAAAGAAACCTTGAGACCCAGATGATTTCTTGGCAAATTCTAACAAACATGTAGAAGACAAATAACTCCAATTCTTCCTAATTTTCCCAGATATCTTAATAAAGTACTTTAACAAATAAATCTACAACTAACAATCATACTCCATGGTGAAAAAATGGAATGATTTCTCCCTAATATTAGAAGCAAAGCAAGGATAGCCACTGTAACCACTTTTATTCAGCATCATACTATAAATCCTAGCTACTGCAATAAGGCAAAAGAAAAAAATAAAAGGCACATGGATTGGGAAGAAAGAATACCAATCCTACTCACAGTTCACAAGTGTGACTATTTAGAAAATCCCAAGGATGCAACCAAACTCCCAGAACTAAAAAGTGACTTCAGTAAGGCCAAAGGATACAAGGTCAACACATGAAAATTCATTGTAGTTTTATATACCAGCAACCAAAATTGAAAACCAACACATATCTAACAGAGGCTCATATCTAACAAGATATGTACAAGACCTGTATGTTGAAAACTACAAAACAATGATGCACAAAATAAATAAATGGAGAGACAATGCAGTATTCATGGATTGGAAGTCTCATAATAGTAAAGATGTCTACATTCCCCAAGTTGATCTATAGATTCAACACAATTCCAAAGTTCTAGTAGAATTTTTGGAGCTATGGCAAGCTTATTTTAAAATTTATGTGGAAAGGTAAAGGAACTTGAATAGCCAACACAATTTTTTTTTTTTTTAGCCAACACAATTTTTAAAATAAAGAATAAAGTGAAAAAATAACACAACTAGATTTTAAGATTTAACATAAAAGTACAATAACCAAAAGAACATGGCATTGACAAAGACAAATACACAGATCAGTGGAACAGAATAGAGAGTGCAGAAATCGATACTTATCCATCCATATATATCCACAAACTCCCATATATACTTCCAATTGATTTTTGATACATCTGTAAAGGCAATTCAATGGAAAAAATAGTCTTTTTAACAAATGGTGCTGGAACTATTGAACTTCTAATACAAACAAAACAAAACATTAACCTAAACCTCACATCTTATACAAAAATTAACTCAAATCATAGAACTGAATGCAAAATGTAAAACTCTATGCAAAGGAACAAATATTTATGACCTGAGATTAAACCAAAAGTTCTTGAATATAACACCAAAAACACATATATAGAAAAATTTGATAATCTGGACTTTGTAAAGAGAATGAGAAGACAAGATATATACTGGGGAAAAACATTGGCAAACACATCTCTAACAAAGGACTTGGATCCAGAATATATGAGATACTCTCAAAACTCAACAGGAAGAAGCAAACAGCCCAATTTAAAAATAGGCAGAAGACTTGGGCAGATGCTTCATCGAGTAGTATATAATAGATGGCAAATAATGAAAAGACACTCATTAGAATGATTCAACGATTAAAATTTTAAAGTGCTGGCAGGGATGTAGAGCAAATGGAACTCTCTCTCATACACTGTTAGTAGAAATGCAAAATTTGCACTCTAGAAAATGGTTTGTCAATTTCTTATGAAGTTAAACATACACTTACCATATGACCCAGGAATTCCCTTTCTAGGTGTTTAACCTAGAGAAATGAAAATTTATATTTACACAAAACTTGTTCATCAATGTTGATAGCAGCTCTATTCATAACTGCCTAAAACTGAAAATGACCCAGATGCCCTTCAACAAGTAAATGGGTAAATAAATTGAAGCATCCATACAATAGAATACTACTCAGCAATAAAAAGGAACATGTGATTGATGTAGGCAACAACTCTGATAAATCTCAAAGATGCTATGTTGAAAGAAGTCAGTTGGAAAGAGTTACATATTGTATGATTCCATTTATGTGGCAATCTCAAAAATACAAAACTATAGCGATTGGTGGTTGCCAGAGGTTGGGATGGGAGATGCAGAGGTTAGGCAGCTTTCTGGGGTGGTAGAACAGTTCTGTATCCTGATTAGGGTGCTGGTTATATGAATCTACACCTATTTTAAAACTCCCAACTGCATACCAAGAAAGTCAATTATTGTATGTTAATTTTAAATACTAAAAAAATTAAAACAAATGTAATAAATATTTAAACAGTCATTCACATGGAAATACAACCAGAATCTATACTTGGATGCTTATCACATGGCACTGTGACTGTATTGTAAGCAACAGAATAGGTCTATCCCTGGCATGTCCATTTCTCTAGGACATTATAAAGCTAGAAACCTTAGCTTTATAATCTCTGTATCTCCAGGATCTCACAGAACCCCTGGTATTTAAAGAAGGCACTCAATATTTTTTCAAAGATGAAAAACTGACTAAATTAGGTATAAATGGTTTACATTATTTCATTTGGTGGAGAACAGGCACAAATTGGAATTTAATCAGTTAGTGAAGGATAAAAGTTCTAGAAAGGTATTTTACAATTTTATACCTTTGTTATTTTTGGCATTAGCTGAACAGGAGCTGGTAGTTGGAACATTTAGCATGAATATTCATGATTTTATCAAATTTATAATATTCATGAATTTATAAAATTCAGTGTGCATAGGTGCCCTTCAGTGAGGACTTTACTATGAAGTCACTTAATTATAAGGATTTTTTAATTGAAGTATTGCTCCAATAATTCATTAAGCTACATGCACAAGATTTGTGGTGAAATATTCTATTTGTTTAGTTTTGTTCTATTGGATAAAGCACTAAATAGTTTTCAATAAAACTCAGGATTTGTATGTGGTCATATATGATCAAAAATAAAATTTCAGAATTCTTTGTATAAAGATGAAATTTCCCATGTGCACAGACACTAGTACTATGTTGTGATTCCTAAGAATCCATACATTTGCTGCTACTGCCATGACCTTCTCTGAACCAAAAAAAAAAAAAAAAAAGTTTTTAGAAAGCTAGAGAGAAAGAAAGACCATGCAAGTTGCTTTGGGAAATGAACATTTACTACAGGAACAGGAGAAAGAGAGGCTTCTCCCCAGAAGAGATCATCTATAGAAGAATTTTTCTGAGCACAAAATGGCTGACCAAGAGTCAAAAAAAAAAAAAAAATCAGACAAGCTGAGTCCAAGATACTGGGGTCCTGACTTTCATGAGGACCAAAGCAACATTAATGTGATTATTAAACATTGCTGAAAATAGCAAATAGCATGAGAGGGGGTCAAAACTCTCAACCACTGCTATAATATGTAAAGACACTGCTTGTTCTTGGGTTTTTCTACAGGCTCCTTGACAGTGTTTTCTTATCTTTTTTTTTAAATAGTCTAATTTAGGGGCGTCTGGGTGGCTCAGTCGGTTAAGCGTCTGCCTTTGGCTCAGGTCATGATCCCAGGGTCCTGGGATGGAGCTCCGCATCAGGCTCCCTGCTCCATGGGAAGCCTGCTTCTCCTTCTCCCTCTGCCTCTCCTACCGCTTGTGCTCTCTCGCTCTCAAATAAATAAATAAAATCTTCAAAAAATAAATAATTTAAAAATTAAAATAAAATACTCTAATAAGTTTTGTTACATAAATATTTCAGAGATCTATAAATATAAAATCTATAATATGTAATATTTAATATACCATATATAGATATAAAATATTTTAGATCAACATTCAAGTGTTAAAGTGGCCACACCTAGGTGTTCTGCCTGTTACACCTTATCACAACAGTGACAGTTTACCGTGCTGTAGTATGCACACCTGGAACCAATAAAGAAGAGCCTCGTTTAAATTATACAACTAAAACTGTGATAGAAATGAGACAAACTCCACATGCATCTCTATTGTTGGTATTCTCGATTCTTTGAACTCTATCAATATAGCCTCTGAAAATCACTGAAAGCCATTCCTTGGGCTCCAATTTATTGAATAGGCCTTTTGTAGAATGTAGGATATACCCCCAGAATAACCTCCAAATTGAAAATTAAATGTTATTTTCCCATTGATTTTCTGGCCACTCCATTTTAAGGTCCATGAAGGCAGCTCTCTATTGCGCACAAAATGGTGGACATAGAGCAAGTACAAAGTAATGTTTTTGAAAAATGAATGAATAAATGTGTATCTCTAAGACTAGGACTGAAAGTAGGATTATATGATTGAACTTCAGGAATCATTTTGGCATATTCCTAGATGACAGACATTGTACAATTCAATAAGACATGTATCTTTCATTCCTTCATCCTGCCAACCAATGACTCCGTTTGGTTTCAGAATACTTTTTGTTAAGATCTGTGATCAGGGCTGGGGACACAAAAATTCCATAAGAAGATATGGTCATTGGGTGCCTGGGTGGCTCAGTTGGTTAAGCAGCTGCCTTCAGCTCAGGTCATGATCCTGGAGTCCCAGGATTGAGTCCCACATCGGGCTCCCTGCTCAGCAGGGAGTCTGCTTCTCCCTCTGACCCTCCCCCCTCTTGTGCTCTCTCTCTCATTCTCTCTCTCAAATAAATAAATAAAATCTTTAAAAAAAAAAAGAAGATATGGTCATTAATCTCAAGTAGCCTAAGTCTAATGCACAACACACACACACAGAGCTAATGTAATTAATACCAGACTATTAAACCTTGAGAACTATAATAAGTGTATCAATAGTGAACTCCAGTGAGAACATAACTAATACAACAAGAATCAACAAAGAATTCCTTGAAAAGCCAATGATTCAACTAGGGCTTAAGAGATACATAGGTTCCTCATAGGTGAAAGGTGGCAGAATGTATATTGTGAAAGGTGTGAACTTTGAAGCCAAGCCATCTGAGTTTGCCTCCCAGTCTACCACTTGTTAGCTGTGTGACCTTGAGCAAGTTACTGAACCGCTTTATGCATCAGATTCCCCACAAGACCACGGCTGGAGATAACAGCACATGTGCTATAGGGCTGTTGGGGGAGTCATTAGTTAAGCAGTTCATGTCAAGCACCTGAACCAGTACCTGAACCAGAACAAAAGCTAAGTATCTGTAAGAGGAAGAAAGGGCAAGACAGAGACCACAATTTTTTTATGTAAAAGAAGTCCCAAAGTGCTAAAACAATTTTTTTCACCAGAAAAAAATAAAAGCATAAATACATTAAGTACAAATTATTAACTACGGATGAAGCATGTTTTGCTGATTCAGAGATAGTTTTTGGTCATTCATCTTTCATTACAACCATGGATTCTCAACCCAAATAATGCCTGGATGCATGTGCATGCACTCAAAACTCCACACATAATTTTAGGGGTCCGTTCACAAAGCAAGGGCAACAGGCACCCTCCTTCGACCTCATCCCTGAGTTACACATAATGGAATGGTCTATGGCTATTACAAACGTTCCATAAGAACCAATGCTTAGTATGGAGTTTTATACAACCCCATGCGATCATGGGCCTTAAAGTAACACACCAAAAACCTACACCTGAACCCTTAGAGGACTGAGACAAATAGAACACAAAGAACCGGACAGCTCCATCTCAAATGACAGAGGGGCAAAGAAGGCAGTTAGGGTTGGCGGGTCCTTGTCTGAGAAGCAGACCTGTGAGAGAAAAGGAGGCAGGTAGTTTAACCCGAGGAAGACAGGAGGGTGCTAGACAAAATGGAGAAATGGACCAGCTTTGTACTCACGTGGTGAAGGAGCCCGGGGGAGCAGACACTCTCCGCAGGTCAGCAGCTGCCACCTGATGGATGCTAGAGGCAGCAGGGAATGAGCAGCGAAGACAGTCAGCACAACAGCGTGGACAGACAGGGAACAAGCCAGGAGAGAGAAAGAGAGACACACAAAATTTAAACAGAAATTAAATGAGCGCGTCACCAAACAGTGAATGAAAAGAAAAGGAAAATCCAGCCAGCCACGGACATAATCCAAAAAGCCAGTGACAGCAATGAAGCCAACAGGACACATGGCGAGGCCTGGCTCTAAGGCAAGCCGGGGACCGCCCGCAGGGCAGTGGGGGTGTGGGCAGATGCGGCAGGAGCGGGACACCGGGCAGGGCTGCAGGCGGGCGGGAGCATCCTCATGTTCCTCCCTTGCTCTAGGGACATCCAAGGAGAGGATGCATGCGTGTACACACACACACACACACACACACACACACACTAGAGAGGAGTAGGCTGGCATAGTAAACTCATCTTTGAGGAAAGTGAAGGTAACTTTAATCCTTTAACATAGTCCTCTTGATTCCAGAGCTCTGTAGGAAATTTGTGTCAAAAGACAGCCATCTTGAAAAGCGTGGCTCAACAAAACCTGTAATGACTGCAGGTAATACCAAGAAAGCCTAGAGTCATCACAGTGATGCCGCAATTTCACTCATAGTCCTGGTGGAAAAGGGAAGCCATAGACTTCACCCTTTTTCTCTTCTTTTATAATGGAAAGAACTGGGGCACCTGGGTGGCTCAGTCGTTAAGCGTCTGCCTTTGGCTCAGGGCATGATCCCAGGGTCCTGGGATGGGGCCCCGCATCAGGCTCCCTGCTCCGTGGGAAGCCTGCTTCTCTGTCACCCGCTCCCTCTCCTTGTGTTCCCTCTCTCACTGTCTCTCTCTGTCAAATAAAGTTTTTTTAAAAAAAAAAAAGAAACTTCAGTAGCTATTAGAAAAGATGAAACATAAAATTTAAGAAACTAAATCCAAAATGTGTTGTCACACTTACAGAATTATTCTCTCCACTCTCTCAGAGGATCTGAAGAGCTTCGCTGTAACTGTAGTAAGCACAGCGCCCCCATCCCTCTTTTCTGCTGGGTATCTAAGTTCTCACATAAAGTCACCCATGAATCAACTCCTTGTTTTCCTCAAAGGACTATCAATTCCAGGATGATGGAATCCAATCAATCGAGTTGCCCAATTCAAAGTTGACCAACTAGAAATCTTGCCCCTAAATAATATGATTGCCTTTCACAGTGTAGTCTTAATTACCAGTGAGCTCAGGATTTCAGCTAGCTTAAGATCTCCCTAAGCACCTGAGAAATTTTAAATTTCTGATCTCTTTAAAAGGTGCCTTTTGAATAGTATCATCAAATTTATGTGGGTACCATGTTACTAGTACATGAATATGAACCTAGACAAATCTCTTCTATTACTTTATGGGGGGATGATATTTATTGCAGCTCTTATTTTGAATAGATTCATAAGCCATGATAAAATGAGATATGCTCCTGTCCCAGCGGGGTGGGGGTCTACTGAACACAATAAGTCTAGCCCTTCAGTTTCTATATAGTAATAGCAAATGGGATTATAGACCAAGAAATATATTTTTTTGGAAATAATTTTCTTTTTTTGGTATAAATGAAGATGTAGTGGCATCATGAAGGCCTACTAGTTAACCATTTCTCATGGGATTTCCCCCACCTATCCAATCCATGTGAACCAGATCTTAAAATTTTTAAGTATGTATCTTCCATTTATTCACATAAAGTGTTACCAAGACATTATCTCCATTACTTTTATATTCATGGATTTTAGATCTATGTTATTTTAGATGCAGTCTCACAGCAATGTTAACAGATACAGGATTATCGATCTGATCTATGTGCAAGCCACTTATTCAACACATAATCATGTCTTAGACATACTGGTAGGCACTGAGGACCCTAAGAGGAAAACTCTAAGCTGGGAGGAGAGACAAGTAAACCAAGAACTATATTATTCTTGATAAATGGTGTGATGAACATAACCTAGAACACTAACAGGAGTATCTAACGGCTAGAAGTAGATCAAAAAGGATTCTTAGAGAAAATGATATTTCAGTGGGGTCTTAAACTTGAGCAAGAGTTAATCGACAAAAAGGAAGGCAGTGCAAAAAGAGCAAAAGAAGTGCAAAAGAACAAGGATGCAAGAGGCAGGCCAGTGCTCCAGACAAGCAATGATCTTTGGAGCGCAGGAAGAGGACGATGATGGCAATGATCAAAAAGCTCTGCAAAGCTAAGGAATATGAGTTTAACTTTTCTAGAAAGATCCTTCTAATTAGTCTACTGGAAAAAGCATTATGTGATGAGCAGTGACACAGGAAGCAAGGAATCATGAGCATAATTTAGTGATGCTGTGGTGAAGTAACTTAGATGGCCTTTGGACACAGGCTGTATTACTAGCAGAGGGGGTAGGTGGTGTGAGTTAAAGACACGGGGAATAGGGGCACCTGGGTGACTCAGATGGTTGAGCGTCTGACTCTTGGGTTCAGCTCAGGCCATCATCTCTGGGCCATGGGATCAAGCCACATGTCGGGCCCAGCACTCAGCGGGGAGTTTGCTTGAAGATTCTCTCCCTCTGCCCCTTCCCCCCTCTCTCTTTCTGAAATAAATAAATAAATCTTTACCAAAAAAAAAAGACGTGGGAAATAAATAGAAGGAGCAAGTGACTGCAAGGACTCCATGGCAGGGACGCGGTGAATGGGTAGATGGTTCCATGTAGACAAATGTGGATAAGGAGGGCTCACTGACTGATAAGCAGAGACAGCAAAGGGAGCAGAGTTAACAAGCCCATTTTCAGCCTGCAGTCTGAGGTTGCTAGGGGGTATCCAGGTAAAGATGTCAGCTGAGATATCCGGATATGAGTCTCTGGCTTTTAGAAGGAATGCTGGGATAGAAGACACAGATGTGAAATTTATTCCCTTATCAGTCATAGATGAAATCTCGCGTACAGATGTGATCTCCCAGAGAAAGGCAAACCTGTGAGGAACACCACCGCTCAAGTGGAAAAGGAAGCCAGTTGTTTAGGGAACCACAGTACTTGATTCTCAAATATTCACAGTTAACTCCCTCCCTCCACCCCCCAATCCTCATCACACACAGAGGTTTCTAAATGAATTCTCCAGACATTTTAAACCAGTTCTCTTTCTTCTGAAAGAAGATGGGCAAATGGAACAGAAGTAACAGATAGTTGCAGAAAACAAGGACTGCTAAGAGAGAGAGAGAGAATGAAGGAGGAAAACAGGGAAGGAAGGAAGGAAATAAAGAAATATCTTTCGATTATCTCTCTGCCTTGGCTGCAAAATGAACTTGGCCCAACCGTGGCTGAAACAGAAAAGCCTAGAGGACTTAGAAGGTTGAAGAAAACTTGTGGAAAGGTCTTAATGGCCAGGCAACCCTCAAACTAGAAACTCCACCTGGAAATCCAGTGGAAGAAGTCAGATTTCAAAACAAGGATTTCTAGTAAAAGAGAAAGAAGAACTCTAATTGCAGAGGGTGAAAGAGAGCAGTCAGGGAGAGCAATTGAGGTGTAATGAACACACGTGACAAGATAAGTGGGTGTTTGGTTTTCCTCTGAAAATATGCTATCTGTATTGATTTCCTAAAAAATATAGTGTTTTGATAGTTATTCATCATCAGTAGTAATAAATATCTTTGCTAAGTTTTACAAGTGTCCTTTTGGGAACTGAAAAGCACATTATTGTCCTTCAGAGGTTTCCTGAGGCCAGAGGCTGCTTAGGTGGACGCACCACTGCCCCCTGGTGGGAAGGAACTATTTTTGAGTTGAGGCTGTTTTCTCGAGCACTCTTCAGCTAAATCTATGCCATCGCATCATCTATCTGCCATATGTAGTCTAAGTACGAAAAGAAAACAACTATTTGTATTGTTTTTTGTATGTGAAGAAGGCCCAAATGAATTCTCAAGAATACAGTTGCCGACAATGAATCATGGAACACTACATCAAAAACTAATGATGTAATGTATGGTGATTAACATAACAATAAAAAATTAAAAAAAAAAAAGAATACAGTTGCCAAGCAGATACAAACTCTTTCTCACTTCAAGGGCAAGAGCTGTTTGAAACTAAGCACCTGGAAACAATTTCGTGTCTGGTAAGGTTATTAAATATAGCATCACCAGGCAGGAGGACGGGAGGTCTTTGCCTGCAGATATTAAGAACTTCTAGTTTTATTATAGCTTCTTAATGATCCACAAGTGACCCCAAACAACCTCAGCTACCATACTATCTCCAAGGTAGCTTTTCATTTAGTTCAGAGCTTTCTCCCCAACCACTGGTTCATGGATTAACACTAACATTTCTAGAGAGCATATGGTCAACCATATACTGTTGTTGACATCCTACCTTTTTAACATATAAACTTGCCAGCTGTATATTTAGCCTAATAGAAGCTAGAGGCAAGGAGAAAAGAAAACCATTGGGAATGAGCCAGGAGTTTCACTAGCTGCAAAATGTAAACAAAATAAGGAATACAACTGAACAAGCTGCGTGGATAATGATCTGGGGAAAGTGCTGAGTGACTCTGATGTCCAGAGAGACTCTAGGAAAGGAGGAAGCAGAGGAGAGAGGACCTCTCATGCCAGCTTCAGACTTAGAAGTGGATGCCAAAAATGCAAACACTTTAAGAGCCCTGCCTAATGCTATTCCTCAACATATGCCATCTCAGAAAGAGAGGTGAAGTTAGGTTCTGGCAGCGAGCTACGGCACCTCTGTCACTGGTTTATTCTAGGCACTTCTGTCGATTGTCACAGTGACTCCATAAATACATGGCAAAGCATGCCCTGCTTCACAGGCACCGCAGGAAGCCAGCCATTCAGGACATATCAGTAACCATGCACCACAGGCCACAAACAGGAGTAGCACCTTGGAGGGTCCCTCGCTGTGACAGAATAATGACCCGAGGCTGAGCCCAGAAATGGCCCTATCTTGAGTTAGACCAGGCATTTGGGCATTATATATAGAAGATACTCAAAAAGAGGCCCCAAATCCCCATTCTTCTCCATCCCTTTCTCCAACCCCGGACAGACATCTCCATTAAAAAAATTAGATGAAGGGGTGCTACAAAGAATATACACTCTGAATATCTAGTTATTATCTCCTTATCTCAAATCAGTTCATCAAAACACCTAAGAAAAGAAAGGGTCCAAGAGGGATACATCTTATTTAGATATTCAGTAGTGAGCCAGGTTGTATCTAGACAATAGGATGCCACTCAGAATGGCAAAATTGAGTTGAAGCACCAGGGTCCATGGGACCCCAATATGGGGGCATCAGGAAAGTGATAACTCACTAACAGGCAGAAGGGGATGCAACGTGGAGAGAGGTGAGCTCCGAACATCCAGCTCTGCCAACCTCCTGCTATCGGGGAAACCAACACTCTCCAAGTGACCTGGGTAAAAAGGAGGCCAATAGCATGCCGTCTTAAAACAAAACAGAACATATTTATCTTGATGCATTTTATGACCCTAGAATCACTCTTAATGATTTTCTGTTGTTTCCAATAAATATAGACCAAAGTGGTCAATGAAGAAGAGTTATCTATCTCGTATACAATACAGTAGTTATTTCTAAAAGAAGAGTGTGGTCACTGTGTAATAAACATGAAAAAAAGTACGTCAGAAAGACCAAGGAACTCCTGTTTCTTGGACTTTGTTCCTTTCTTAACACAGTAAGGCCTCTAGACCATGCACATGCTTGGTGTTCTCTTCATGGTCTTTGTGTTCACAAAGGTAGGCAAGGGGCAGACTCACTCATTGAGTAAAGGCATGGATGTTCTCCTCTTGCTCTTCTGTACCATGTTGGCTTGATTCCTCAAGGAGATCCGAATCATAGCTGGGGCCAACCTACAGGGCTCCCCATCCACTTGCATGGGGATGGATTTGTAAGTGAGCAGCATGACCTCCCGACACTGGTGTAGCCTTTCCCCGTGGCCCCCAACTTGCAGGGCAGCCTGTGAATTCAAGAGTCCAAAGGAAGCTGGAAGTTAGTTCTTAAGAGTCAGGAAAGCTAGAACCCCCAAGTGCACTCTGAATAACCCAAAGGCCATTGATAAACAGTGAAATTTGCTAGCCAGGAGTAGAATGGGAAACCTTGGGTAAATCACCTTAACAAAAATAAATTAAAATTTCTCAACTTTTGATGAGCTTGACCAAAAATTCTCGATAGCTAATTTTCAGTGTTACGTATTTTCAGTCTTAATTTAATCACATTACTTTAATACAGAAGTTGTTTTCTGTGCGATTTATTCCCATTGAATAACCAATATAAGGAGAAAAAAAGACTATAAAAGATATAAAGCACAGTTTAAGGCAGCTTTTGTACTAATTTAAATATAAATATTATAATATATATTATTTAAATATAAATACATAATATAGTTACACAACATAGATATGTATATATAACATATCTTATGTACATACATGCTATAATATGTAACTATATATTATATATTAAATATATTCATATTTAAATTGGAGCCCACCCTTGGTTAATTTTCAAACTTGGGCAGGTTTTTCCTTTTTACCAAAAACCTCCTCAAGCTACTTCTAATCTGTATAAGATCAATGAAATGCAAAATAATATTAATTACTCAATTACAAACATTATGAAAGGTAAAGCAAAGGATCAAAATCAAACACAGAGCTCAATTCACCACGGTGGCCACAAAATGGAAAAGTCAATCTAAAATGAAAAGCCCGGATGAACCATGAGAGACGATGGACTCTGAAAAACAAACTGAGGGTTCTAGAGGGGAGGGGGTGGGAGGATGGGTTAGCCTGGTGGTGGGTATTGAGGAGGGCAC